ATATTTGCTGATAAACGACAACAGTTGTCTCCCCTAGTTACATGGCGGTCAGCGTTTTATCGGTACATGTTTTCGTCCCACTGCTGCCATTATTCACATATAAGGCAATTGTTGCCATTTTTTGTTTTCGCCCCACTGCTGCCATTATTCATATATAAGGCAATTGTTGCCATTTTTTGTTTTCGCCCCACTGCTGTCATTAATCACATATGAGGCAATTGTTGCCATTTTTTGTTTTCGCCCCACTGCTGCCATTAATCACATATAAGGCAATTGTTGCCATTTTTTGTTTTCGTCCCCACTGCTGCCATTAATCACATATAAGGCAATTGTTGCCATTTTTTGTTTTCGTCCCACTGCTGCCATTAATCACATATAAGGCAATTGTTGCCATTTTTTGTTTTCGTCCCACTGCTGCCATTAATCACATATAAGGCAATTGTTGCCATTTTTTGTTTTCGTCCCACTGCTGCCATTAATCACATATAAGACAATTGTTGCCATTTTTTGTTTTCGTCCCACTGCTGCCATTAATCACATATAAGGCAATTGTTGCCATTTTTTGTTTTCGCCCCACTTCTGCCATTATTCACATATAAGGCAATTGTTGCCATTTTGTGTTTTCGCCCCACTGCTGCCATTAATCACATATAAGGCAATTGTTGCCATGTTTTGTTTTCGTCCCACTGTTGCCATTAATCACATATAAGGCAATTGTTGCCATTTTTTGTTTTCGTCCCACTGCTGCCATTAATCACATATAAGGCAATTGTTGCCATTTTTTGTTTTCGTCCCACTGCTGCCATTAATCACATATAAGGCAATTGTTGCCATTTTTTGTTTTCGTCCCACTGCTGCCATTATTCACATATAAGGCAATTGTTGCCATTTTTTGTTTTCGCCCCACTGCTGCCATTAATCACATATAAGGCAATTGTTGCCATTTTTTGTTTTTGTCCCACTGCTGGCATTAATCACATATAAGGCAATTGCTGCCAATTTTTGTTTTCGTCCCACTGCTGCCATTAATCACATATAAGGCAATTGTTGCCATTTTTTGTTTTCGTCCCTCTGCTGCCATTATTCACATATAAGGCAATTGTTGCCATTTTTTGTTTTCGCCTCACTGCTGCCATTAATCACATATAAGGCAATTGTTGCCATTTTTTGTTTTCGCCCCACTGCTGCCATTAATCACATATAAGGCAATTGTTGCCATTTTTTGTTTTCGCCCCACTGCTGCCATTAATCACATATAAGGCAATTGTTGCCATTTTTTGTTTTCGTCCCACTGCTGCCATTAATCACATATAAGGCAATTGTTGCCATTTTTGTTTTCGTCCCACTGCTGCCATTAATCACATATAAGGCAATTGTTGCCATTTTTTGTTTTCGCCCCTGCTGCCATTATTCACATATAAGGCAATTGTTGCCATTTTTTGTTTTCGCCCCACTGCTGCCATTAATCACATATAAGGCAATTGTTGCCATTTTTTGTTTTCGCCCCTCTGCTGCCATTAATCACATATAAGGCAATTGTTGCCATTTTTTGTTTTCGCCCCTCTGCTGCCATTAATCACATATAAGGCAATTGTTGCCATTTTTTGTCGCCCCTTTGCTGCCATTATGCACATTAAGGCAATTGTTGCCATTTTTTATTTCGCCCTCTGCTGCCATTAATCACATATAAGGCAATTGTTGCCATTTTTTGTTTTCGCCCCTCTGCTGCCATTAATCACATATAAGGCAATTGTTGCCATTTTTTGTTTTCGCCCCTCTGCTGCCATTAATCACATATAAGGCAATTGTTGCCATTTTTTGTTTTCGCCCTCTGCTGCCATTAATCACATATAAGGCAATTGTTGCCATTTTTTGTTTTCGCCCCACTGCTGCCATTAATCACATATAAGGCAATTGTTGCCATTTTTTATTGTCGCCCCTCTGCTGCCATTAATCACATATAAGGCAATTGTTGCCATTTTTTGTTTTTGCCCCTCTGCTGCCATTAATCACATATACGGCAATTGTTGCCTTTTTTTGTTTTCGCCACTCTGCTGCCATTAATCACATATAAGGCAATTGTTGCCATTTTTTGTTTTCGTCCCTCTGCTGCCGTTAATCGCATATAAGGCAATTGTTGCCATTTTTTGTTTTCGCCCCACTGCTGCCATTAATCACATATAAGGCAATTGTTGCCATTTTTTGTTTTCGTCCCTCTTCTGCCATTAATCACATGGCAATTGTTGCCATTTTTTGTTTTCGCCCCACTGCTGCCATTAATCACATATAAGGCAATTATTGCCATTTTTTATTGTCGCCCCTCTGCTGCCATTATTCACATATAAGGCAATTGTTGCCATTTTTTATTGTCTCCTCTCTGCTGCCATTAATCACATATAAGGCAATTGTTGCCATTTTTTGGTAAAACCTTCATTATACCTGTAAACACAACTTCACAACCTAGTATTACATTCCTTTAGAGCCTTGACGATAGATACAATGTGTGAAGACTCATGTGTGCTGTAGGAGAGTGTACGAGGTGTAGACATTAGTCAGTCGGGCAACACATCCTCCATCTTAGTGTGGTGATCTGAGGAGAGGAACCTCAACTCAGTTGGGTCTTGTTGGGCGTCGAGTGTTGTCCAGGAAGATCACCGAGACAGAAACTCAACCCATTATCTCTGTGACACTGTTTTGTTATGTATGTGTCAACCTGGATGAATTTTATAAAGACTTTTAGACCAGTGTTCCAGTCAGATCAGGACTAGAGGCTTACCGAGGGTGGATCGAAAACACGGCGAGTTATATGTTGTGCTGAGACTGAGGAGAGATGGCTGTGGTCCAAAACAGAGAGGGTGCAGAGGAGTCTAAATGAATTGAATTAGATGCCACTAAAGCTGGGAATAGTGGCTGAAGGCTGCTGGCTATAGTACTTACGCGCCACACCGAACATCATCGCCAATTGTTTCAATTCTATCTAAGTTGCCAGAGTTTGAACGAATATGATGGTGAATGAAAGTAGCGGGTGGGTTGGAAGTTCCCATGAGTTTTCCCGGGTATTTCCTCACTATTATTAACCTCTTAATTAGTCTCTCGCCTAAGAAACAGGATGGATGCTCACAGTTCTTTACAACATTCATCCCTTTCTTTTACCAACCCACTGAGGTACCTGGAACCCGACAATTATGCTGGATATATAGTTCATGCTAGAGCGTGGTGCCCGTTAGGTTATCTGGCCACAAGTGAAGCTGCTATTCTAATCCCATGACTTCCTTGTCCCTGGAACTAACTACTAGAGTTTGCTAAATTCCTGCAAGAATATCACTGTCAGTGTTAATCAAATTACTATGTGCAGCCACTCGTGTGTGTGTGTGTGTGTGTGTGTGTGTGTGTGTGTGATCGAGTTTAACATTCGTAAGCAACACAGCGAGAGCCGGGTGTTGTCTCAAGGATCACACTCTCGCAGCTGGGAGATATAGGTTATGCTTTCTGTTTCTGTACAGTATGTCGTGTGTGTGAGAACGCCGAGGTAGAGTAGAGGGTGACAAGTAAAATACAACAAGTACACTGTTTCACCATCACAGAAACTAAAATTCCTCCGTTAGTGAATGAATCGGTAAGTGAAGTACAGTACACAGCTGCCAGTGAACTGTAACACCCAGCAGTCCCAGGAACAACATCATGATTGGATGAAATGTTAAAATCAGTATACCACGCCAGGAACTCACCATGACCTCGTCCCAGACGCCACTCATGACAGATCACCTGATCCTCCCTCCTAACCACCCACCAGACGTCAGTGTGGAGTGAAATATGAAATTCTGAAGGGCGTGTGTCTGTGAAACTCAGAAGATCGTAACATTTTGATCCATTGAAGAACGTAGCAACATCTCCCATTAAATAATAACAAAAAAAGTCTGTGTAAGATTTCTATAACTTCATTTAAAAGCCACGAGCGTTTTATGTCAATATCAAACGTGCATGGTGGAAAACGACCAAATTTTATCCTCCTAAAATTACCACAATTCACGTAGTGTTTTGAGGGTGCAGGTGAATGGTGAGGGTGGTGATGAGGGTGAGTGGTGAGGATGGTGGTGAGAGGTGAGGGTGTAGGTGAGAGGTAAGGGTGTACAGTAGGTGAGTGGTGAGGGTGGAGGTGAGTGGTGAGGGTAGAAGTATTGAAATTGCCATTGTTAATGAAACAGTTTATTTAGCCAAAAAATACAGATACAGAGTCGATATTAATGACAATATTAATATGGCTGAGCCAGTTGAGAGCCCGAGCTCTCTTGTAGGCACCTGATATATAACGTACATTTATCTCAAGGAAGTATTATGTAACATTTAGTATCATCTGGAATAGTACACAAAGCATGGTTGTAGTAAGAACATATCAGAATGTTACCACGGTTATCACTTCGATATTTTCTTATTTTATTTTACATTTATATTATAAGCATACATATATTTTACAGTGGAGTTGATATATACATTAGTATAATAAGAGAGGGAAGCAATACTACCTGGGTTGTATTAAGGTGGAACAAAAGGACAGAGCTGTCAGTATTAAGTCCTGTCGACAAATATGATTATTGCAATGGTAATTGCTATCTATCTGCATGACGATTTATGATATAATGGTTTTGGTGGTACAATAAAAGTAGGAATAACAAGTAGGTATTACAAAAATATTAATACTTTGACAAAAGATAGTTTTTAAGAGATGATTTAAAGGAAGGAAGCGTAGTCTTTGGTCGCATGGGTGGGGGTAAGTTGTTCTACACCTTAACACCATGATTATTTATGGAGGTCTGGGACTGAGAGGAGCGCATGGGGTGGTCTTAGTAGCTCTGGGTGTTTTAAGTTGTATCTCTGATTCTTCCAGAACGAAATAATTATTGTCAACCAAGTGATTGACAGATTTATAAACAAATAGGGCACAGCAGTAGGTGTTATATCCTAGAATTGTAATATTTTCAATTTAGCAAAATATTCGTTCGTGTGATCAGTTTTTTCAAGTAGGTCATTGTCTGCACAACCCTCTTTTGTGCAGTAATCAAGGGTTGTGTTTTTGTAGCGCCAAAGGCCCCCTTAGTGTGTGACAGTGTATCAAGTGTTGGTAAACAAGATCATAATTAGTTTCTTTCATTGCTGCAAAAGTGAGTGACTGACGAGTGTGATACAGTGCAGTGAGTGGTTAATTAACCGATGGCAATACAACGGTGACGTCACAGATCTGCAGTGAGTGGTTAGTTAAAAGATGGTAATACAACTGTGACGTCAGGGCCTGATATGGAGGGGTCGACTGATAACGTTCATTCTGGTGAAAACAGAATGTACACAATTGTGTACAATCTTCTACAGCCGTTAGACAATGTTACATCTCACTCCCTAACTGCAGAGTGGGAGGGAGGGAGCGTGTACCTAGAAGTGCTAATATATTTGATTAGGAGTGAGGCAGCCTGATGTAGCCCGGAGCCCCTGAGCGAGCTGGGTGGTGAGGGACGTCGTCTGCCAGGAGGTGAGGCCCCGGGGGACTCCTAAATGAAGTGTTAAGGTGCGTAATCTTTCCTTCATTCTTGTCTTGAGAGTAAATAAGATGTGTTTAGCCTGTCTTAACACATTTAAAAAAAATAAACATTCAATAAAAAATTACTTTGTTATAGTAGGGAAATAATGTCTTATGGAGACAGAATGGAAGTGCACACACACACACACACACACACACACACACACACACACACACACACACACACACACATTTTTATTGAATTCTCTAACTGTATAAACAAGTCATAAAACAAAGGTCATAAGACAAACAATTCCCAAGCCAAAGACTTCCTGTAACTCAGACGAGGGGCGCCAGCCACAGTGCTGTAGGCAGTCTGGGTCACCAGGCTAAGGCTGCTCAACATAACTACTGTAGGAACGATAAATGAGATTACAAACACGCTGACCGGAAAGCTGGTCGATGTTGTCACTTCTGTCTGATTGAAACGGTTCCGTGCTCTCCAGGAAAGATCCCCAGGGTAAATTTTCTACCGGAATCTGAGGTCTTTGTGGTAGCCGGTCTTGGGTCAACATTTGGTTTATACAAGAAAAATGTGGTTACTCTGATGACGAGGATGTGATGATGCCTGCTGGTGGGTTGTGGAGTTGGATGCCGGGTGTGTGGGTTGAGAGTCACGGCGGCAGCAGCAGCAGATACAACCACCAGTAAGTCGATGAAAGTACACACAGAGGTACAGCACCATCATGAGTACCACCGCCGTCACCAAGGGCAACACTACTGTATATACAAGATATAATATCCACCATCATTCCCCTTCCCGGGTTCGTTGGTACTGGTTCTCAGTATTGGTTCGTTGGTACTGGTACTCGGTATTGTAAGATTAGCACATAGTCCTTCTTTTCTGGTGTCTGAAATGAACAAACACATTACTCACACGAATACTAAGACGAAGACAAGGTGGCTAAGTCTGTCAGGCAGACGTCTAAAAGAAGCATGACTGAAAGAAAGACAGAAAAACTATAAAACAATAATTATATCAGCAGAATAGCTGATATATGTGAGAGAAAGTCACGGCAACAAACTAACATCCTGATATATGAAAAGGCACTAAAAGTTGTCTAGAAGTATCAAGCTGTTGTATATTACAAGAGGGTGAGCTTATATTTACACATACAGCCTTCAGTCTTCTACCTTTGACCTATGACCCAGCCCAAGCAAACCAAGAATACTTAAAGGGATTATATATATATATATATATATATATATATATATATATATATATATATATATATATATATATATATATATATATATATATATATATATATATATATATACATATACACACACACACTGAATATTAAATCTTGATGGAATGACTCAAAGTGCTTCTCAGAAATTCTCCGAGTGGATGGTCAACAGGAATTTCGCTTCACCTTTAAATGGCTGCGACAAAAATTGTTTCCATCGAAGGCCATGAGAAACCAGTCTGAGTTCAGTTCACTACTATACAATATACAGGTATACAATAATCAAATATATAACATTACAATTTTCACCACATATTGACCAACATGTCATTAAACACTATTAACATACCATTACATGGACAGGAGTAAGCCTCAATGTTGTCCGCAGATTGGAGAGTCAATTTAACGCTCTGCTTCAGAGACTTAACACTGAGGCGACTTGGGCAAGAATAGGGTTCCAAATTTTGTAACCTTGACTGGGACCCAACTTTTAATCGTCTGTCTTTCAGCGTCACATCCAAGTAAATTTCCAGGGTCGAGGAATTTGTTGGCCAAGGATAGGAGAAGGTACAGTCGTTGTTGATCACGAGGTTCTTGAAGGTGTTTGAGTCACCATGTAAGTGTATTTCAGCTTTTTCTTCGTCCATTTTCACCTGCAGATGAAGGTCCCATCTACCTGCTGGTAACTTGAGTCTTATTGTTGTTATATAAAGCTTTTTGTTAGTGTCGTACAGCATCTCCACGGGTGAAAACGCTTGTGCAGATCTCATCTCGCAGGCTACAAAATAGGTAAAAGAAAATAATGGATATGTTATTCCCATTTTATGGACAAATTCACATCACATTAATATCTCAAACTCACCCTCAATGTCCATGTCCCTCTGTGAGTTGTTCTTGTAATGTCAAAACTTTAGATTATCTTTTGTGTTTGTCTTCAGGTGAGACTAAATCAGGTTACTCCTACCATGAATATGTTACATATATAGAAAGTCTCCACATGCTCAGTTTATCCTACAGAAGGGCACGGGGCGATGCGATAAAAGTTTCTAAACACCTCAAGGACATTACTCAGTCATATTCACGTTCACAAATTAAAGACTCAGTACAGAAAACTGTCAGGTGTAACTTTTTTGGAGTAAGAGTTATGAAATAACTTGCCAGAGTATGTTGTAACAGCACCGAGTGTGAGCTTTTCAAGTCCAGACTTGACCAACACTGGGTCAAGTTCAGGCATATTCAAGAGAAGTGACCGACACCCGACCGGCCAGTGAAGAAGAGGGTAAAGAAAGAAAAAAGTGTTAATCAAAAGTTCTCCGTCAGCTCGGTCATGACTCAAAACAGTCACTACAATACTGAAAAATTATGTACTTGTCACTGTAAATTATCCGCATTGTTTATTATAATATATAATTCATAAAGTGTTATTGTTAGCTGTGCCAGCAGCTCTAAAAACCAATCCTCATTAACTACTGACTCAGTCACCTTCAGTGGGAAATTCTGACCGTTTCGGTCTTGAAACGCGCGCAAGCGCGCGCGCGAGCGTGTGTGTGTGTGTGTGTGTGTGTGTGTGTGTGTGTGTGTGTGTGTGTGTGTGTGTGTGTGTGTGTGTGTGTGTGTGTGTGTGTGTGTGTGTGTGTGTGTGTGTGTGTGTGTGTGTGAAGATAATAGCAGACATTTTGTTTCCTTACTTCTGGCTTCACACAAGAAACTATCCATCATCAGAGCAACTAAACGGAAAAACAGCATTACACTCCCCACACACTTATCGAAATCCTGAGATAAATTCGAGTGCTGAGACGTTGTATTGTCATTATAAATGTAGAAAAAGTAATGGCGGAATGCGTCACTTAATGTTCAATCCTTAAAGTACATTAACCGCTAAAAATAACAGCAAAAATAATAAGGAAAATTAAAAGCGTAATGTTGAATATCGACACAAGTATGATTATGACCCACTGTACTGTAGACAACAGAACCTTCACTGTCTTCTGTTTTGGTGCATTGGTTCCTGTTTTTGTCAAGCGTAGTCCAGTCAGCACAGCTCAGTGTCCTGCTACTGACTGGTAATTTTGGCAAATTTGATGCATGAGGTGGCGTGCATCGATAGGTCAAGGCCAGATTACGGTTTCTGATTACTAAATACGGCAGCTGGGAGGGTTATTTTATTATCCAAAATTATCTTTTTTTGTGTGTTCATAAGTTCTGTTTTCAGAGTTTCCCAAACATTTTGTAAACATGGATCACTGTCGGTTATCACTCACGCTTGTAACAGATAACACTGGTGGACTAGAGTTCGTGTGAAAATACTCAAGTCAGGATCTGGTATACTGACTAGAGATATTTTGAGTCTTTCTCCTATAAGTGACTGAAACAGATAAATGTTGTTAAATGTTATGGAGTTATTGTCAATGATGGTGAATTTTATACCTGTCTTTTTCTTCTTTGGTTGCGTTGGTGCAGCCCAGCTGTCACCTTTCCTGACCCGAGTAAAAATTATTTCAGCGTGCAAGAAATTATTTACACTTGAGTTTTAACCTGAAACTAATTCTTTACCAAAACTAGTTTTTCGCTGCACTGAGCTCATCATTGTGTTTTGGGGTTTATATAATCAACGAATAAAAGTGATTGTTCACCTGATTTGTACACAAGAGTTCCATTGCCTACATATACTTTGTTGATTGTAAGTTTAGATGAAATCGTGTAGTCAAATATTTCATTGGGGAGGGGAAAGGTTTTGCTCTAACGAACTCAAATAAGGTGCCAACCAACATACAAGAAGCGGTATGCGTGTGGGTGTATGACCACGCTATCTGTACGTCTTCATAAAGTGCTAGAAAAAGATTCGCCAGTCAGGGAGAGTGCATGACATCGTTATATAATTATTATCGGAAAGGAATATCTTCGCGTATTATTTCTGGTAACTGATGTTGTCAATGTTACAGTGTATTCACTTTAAAAATGTCCTCTTGTAGACAAATGATAACAGGATTAGCGCTATAAGAGTTAGGTATTTTGGGCCATGTACGTGGTTTTTATACAGTGCCAAGAGCCTAGTGTCCTGCATAACGGTTTAGTGTCCCGTAATGAAAGCTTAGTATCCTGGCTGGTGGTTTAGTTGACCGTAAAGAAAGCCTAGTGCCCTGCATAAAGGTTTAGTGTCCTGAATGACGGTTTAAGGTCCCGTAAAGAAAGCCTAGTGTTCTACATAACGGTTTAGTGTTCTGAATGACGGCTTAATGTCACGTAAAGGAAGCCTAGTGTCCTGAATGGTGGTTTAGTGTCCCGCTAAGAAAGCCTAGTGTCCTGAATGGTGGTTTAGTGTCCCGTAAAGAAAGCCTTGTGACCTGAATGGTGGTTTAGCGTCCCGTAAAGAAAGCCCAGTGTCCTGGCTGGTGGTTTATTACATAAGAACATAAGAAAGTGGGATACTGCAGGAGGCCGACTGGCCCATACAGGGTAGATCCCTTTCACACCCATCCCAGCACTTCCATGTGCCTATCCAACTTCGTCTTGAAGCTCCCTTGCGTCCCCGATCCTACTATAGCACTCGGTAGCCTATTCCACATATCCACAACTCTATTACCAAACCAGTGCTTGCCTATATCCTTTCTGAATCGGAATTTATCTAATTTAAAGCCATTTTTTCTAGTTATTTCGTTATTACTGAGCTTCAGAACATCTTCCATTTTACCCTTGTTAATCCCACTTACCCACTTGAACACCTCTATCATATCTCCCCTAACTCTACGCCTCTCTAATGAATGCAAGCCTAAGCTTTTCAGTCTTTCTTCATATGGAAGGTTTCTAATATTATGGATCATTTTTGTCATTCTTCTTTGTACTTTCTCCAAAGAATCTATGTCCATTCTATAATAAGGACACCAGAATTGAACCGCATAATCCATGTGTGGCCTCACTAATGCTAGGTAAAGTTTCAAGATAACGTCAGCAGTTCTGTTACTCACACTCCTAGATATGAACCCAAGAATCCTGTTTGCCTTGTTGCGAACGCTAATACATTGTTTTCTAGGTTTCAAGTCGTTGCTAACAAATACACCTAGATCTTTTTCACAATCTGAGTTTTCTATTTCCGTGTTACCTAGTTTATGCTTAACGTTTGTATTCGTCTTCCCTATCTGTAGTACCTTGCATTTATCAGTATTAAAATTCATTTGCCAGTCTACTGACCACTCATGTAAGGTATCTAGATCTCTTTGAAGGTGTTCAAAGTCACTGTCTGAATTTATCACTCTCCCCATTTTGGTATCATCTGCAAATTTACTAATCCTACTAGTTATACCTAAATCAAGATCATTAATGAATATAACAAACAGCAGGGGGCCTAATACAGACCCCTGGGGAACTCCACTTTTGACCGCACCCCAGTCTGACTTAAATCCATTTATGCTGACTCTTTGTTTCCTACCAGTTAACCATGACCTAATCCATTTTAATAATGATCCACCTATTCCATGTGCTTCTACCTTCCTTATCAATCTCTCATGAGGGACTCTATCGAATGCTTTACTGAAATCTAAATAAATTATATCATATGACTTATCATTATCTACTGCTTCATATACTTCTGAGAAAAAGCTAAGCAAATTTGTGAGACAAGAACGTCCCTGGGTGAACCCGTGCTGAGAAGAATGAATTAAGTTGAATGTTTCAAGGTGGCTTCTGATTTTTGTAGCAATAATTGACTCCAGCAACTTGCCTATGATTGACGTGAGACTAGTGGGACGGTAATTTGATGCAATTGATTTATCACCCCTTTTGAAAACCGGAACTACATTTGCAAGTTTCCAAGCTTCTGGCACTAGGCCCGATTCCAATGACTTATTAAATAAAACTGCTAATGGATTACTCAACTCATCTCTACATTCTTTTAATATTCTAGCATATACCTCGTCTGGACCAGGCGATTTATGAGGCTTCAGTTTGTTAATTACTTTAAACACATCGTTACTAGTAATATTGATATTCATCAACATATTTTCTATACTGTCGTTGTATACCTTATGAACTTCTGGAAACTGTGCTAGGTTTTCATTTGTGAATACGGAGCGAAAATGACTATTTAACGTACTACACATTTCTAACTCATCATCAGTCATTCCTCCTGTCGTATTGTCCTATATCAATGAACAAATACTATCTCTTAGTTACCTGGGAGGGAGAGTGTTGACGTATAAGACTCACAGGAGGTGTAGCACTGCAATATCAACCCGACTTGCAATAACAGGAGCCAAGGAACAGGGCCGCGCCTCTCCATACTGTGTGAAGACTTCCGGGGCACTGAAGAGCAGCATTAATCTATATTTTAGCAGGATGTTGTCAATAAGACCCAACCGCGGGTGTTACGTGGAAATTATCTTATTGTTATGAAGCAGAGATTTTTCTTTATTTAATATTATCATATTCCAAGTAAGGACTATTTCTTTCTTCCTAGTCAACAACATGACGACATGGTGGTTGGACACAGGTACTGCTGTGTCAAAACCTGGCAGTGTTGGATTCACAGTTCAGTAGATCACCATTGGTGTACCTATATAAGCCTACTGTACTGCAAACCAATGAAGGTTTCAATGGGCTTTTTTCTTCTGATGAGAGTTTATGATTTAACTAAGATAAAGTTATTGATATATTAGAAATTAATAACTGGAAAATATTCATCTTTGTTGGTATCATCACGAATTATGCGAAACATTTATTAACACATTTGTATATGAATGTATACAACAAGTCAGATTATAAGGTATTACAGTCATAAGCCAACAGACAAAGTCAAAAGGCACTCAGGAAACACTGCATGTCCATTGCTTGGCTAAAGCAGCGTAAATCTTTTGTATACCTGAATGACTGTGTTCCACTCCGTATTTGGTCTGGAGTCAAGGAGAAACAGGAAGAACAGGTTCCGGCCGATACTTTATCACCAGCAAAATAATGTTGTGTTGATTCCATCAGCTAAATAATAATATACATTACACAGGACGACACAAACATGTACTAACTTCCTCTTGACGACCGAGTTCGTAAATGGCATCTTTCAGTGAAATTGCTCTTCTTACATTATATATCTTCATGATAAATGGTTCATCATTAAGCGTTTATTAAGTATACCAAAACACAAAGCATTCATTGAAGGTGTCAGTAGTCCGATTTTCTTGTGTTACATCTGTACCGTTTGGTATCTTTAGGCACTTACAGTACATCTCGCCTTTATTTTACTTCTAGTATAAACATGGGACAGTTCCATACTGTTGGCCAGCTTCTCTCTTCGTTGGTCTCATTTCTTCATTAACCGCATTCGGGACTCTCTTGTAAGTCTGTTTGTCCGTTTATGCTTTAGTATTTCTTCCAAAGGTGAAATTTCCCTCTAATGGCTCTCTTAGTTAATAAGTTCTCCACTTGGATTTATCTCTTTGTCTTAGGGTAAATATTCCTTTACCTCCTATGGTCAGGTTAATTTTGGATCTGGACGCAAGATATATCGGTCACAAGTCCTACAAACACTGTACAGCAAACGTTAAGTAAAAGAGTTGAGGTTGAATCATGTGTTTAAGATTATCAGTCGTTTATGTCCAGGTCATCTTGGTGAGGATTACGGCTATGAACCGGCAGGGCACTTGGGGCAGTGAACATAATCGTTCGTACCTTCTGTACGCGGTCACACAAGAAACCCTTTCTATAAAGAATTGCATCAATTTACCTAATCATACTAATTCCAACAAATAATTCAAATTGGAATTAAAAAATACATAGCTGATGAAGATAGAATATAACAAGACATTGATTCATGTATCATTAACTTACGAATTGTTTCAGTGATCCATCAGTCTCGGTTAGTCTCGGTGCCACGTAAAACTTGTTATATTTAGCCATTAATATATATATATGAATATGTTTAAAAATTTCTTGGTACAGATTAGTCCCTCAGCCTAAGCAAAGCACCCTAATGGAAACAAGCTAATGATCTTAGTGTTAAGTATCCTTGGTCGAATCGACTCAATAATTATAAACATTATGAGGCAAAAGTGACGACAGAGATGGATTACCAATGGGCAAGTAAGAATGGTGGGGAAACAGTGACGTCAGAGATCAGCAGTGAGTGATTAATTAAAAGATGGTAATACAACAGTGATGTCATAGACCTGGAGTGGTGTATAATTAAAAGATGGTAATATAGCCCTGACGTCGCAGGTGATACAATCGTTCTTCAATTATCTCACTCCCTAACTGTAGAGTGGGAGGGAGGGAGAGTGTACTTAGAAGTGCTAATATATTTGATTAGGATTGAGGCAGCCTGATGTAGCCCGGAGCCCCTGGCTAGGTTGAGGAGGTGTAACAGGAAGCTGGATCATAATCATCGAGTCTGGGCTCCATATTATCCTAAAATTTAAAAGCCGTATAACTCCTGGACCTTTGAACTTGTAAGGAGGGAACACCAATGCTGGGTGAGTCCACCATACTTACATATCTTCTGGGGGTGTCTGCACCTTATCTGGCTGTGCTACAGGGAAGAGAGGTACAGTAGTTGCCAGAGTGGAAGCGCGTGTGTTCTCACTCCCTCACCAACTGTCTTCCATTCTTCCAGTACAGCATCGTGACCTCACCTGGGCTCTCGCAAGAACCGCCAGGTTTTAGGTTGCGGTATTCACTTGCTGGGCAGTGGCTGGTGGTCATGACTCTTGTAATGATGTGGTTGTTCACTTTGTGGTGTGTCATGAGATTTGAACTTCCGGAGGACCACACAGAGTAGAGGGAAGTAGAATGAGGAGCTCCCCTTATTGGACACCTTCTGCTGACACAAATTCAGTGTCTTCAAATAGCATTCTTAGAAGTTTGTAGAACCCACACGATACACAGGCCTTGCAGCTATTTAAATACGGTTCAGATAAAGCATATAGTAAACTAAGGTTTTGTAGAGAATATAAGAAGGCAGTGTGATCATCACTGTACTCGACTGCTGCAAAGTTAGGTACCATTACCACAGCTGGGCAGACTATATATATATATATTGTAACAGCCCAATTGAACGATTGTGTGATAATGACCCTTACACGTAGAACTCGATTGTTCTTTATTCGGTCAAAACCTGCAGAGTACAAATTACGTATGTTACATATAAGATAATTAATTCATTCGTACGTTCCTTCACTATTAATAACTACATATTGTATATTTGAGTAGCGTGGGGTGTTAAACCATATAAAAACTTACGTGTTTCGGGTCTAA